AGCCCATTATATAAATGGAGTGTTAAAACTTGCCCAGAAACCCATTATAAAACTGGAACTAGGACTTCTAACTCCTTGCATACTACTAGAGAACAGCTGGCTTGATGTTTTCTGGAGGAAACAGCAGAACCCAAGTTCTACTTTGATTTAGATTTTTTTCACAGTGGCACTGAATCCAGTGAATGTGAGAATGTGAAATTATACCCCTGGCATACGTTATTTAAAATACTTTGGAAAATGTTTTTTAGAGTATTGCAAGTGTAGCCTGATAGGGTATGTTTACATTAATGCCAAGTTGCTTGATGTATTTCAAGTTTTAATGCAGGCAAGTATTAAAATAATATTTGATGATGATTTGTAGAAGCATGAGAAAATAAGAGGAAAGAAAAGCAGAGGAAAATTATGAAAGGAGGGAAGAAGAGGAAGGAGCAGACTAGCCCGCTTTGCAGAAAATATGTCTATATTGATGTCCGCTGTATGCTGGTAATAGCATTATTCATCCTAATATGCTGTCATTAATAAAAACAAGAAAGGATGAAGTTTCTGTAGTTATTTTAGGTTGATGTAGGAGTATATTATTTTCCTGGAGTTAGGCAGCACTTTAAAACTGCAAAGGATTAGACAGACACAATTAGTTCAAATATTGGTCCAGCCGTTGAAAGGAAAAGCCTCACTTCCGCCTGTGATGAGGCTTTGGAAATCTCCATACCCATCATTCTTTAACAGCTAAGTGAAGACTGCATGTTGATTACCCTTTCAGTTGCCTTTAAGCAGCTTTTGTGATATGTTAAATTCTAAGTTCCCTAAAATCCCAACTTTTTAATTTGTTCTCTGACTTGTATGCAGCAAGGCAAATATTTCTGAGTTTATGTGCACACATATACACACACATATACACATGCACCCTGATCAGAACCATGCCCTTTCAAATATCAAATACACTGAGCATATTTTAGAAAGATAACAAGTGGGACAGGAACAGTCAATCCCATTAATCTGCACAAGGACATGAAAAGAAAAATAATGGACTGCCCATTCCCCTCTAGTCCAATTTTGGCTATTGAACTTACCACAAGCATCTGAGTTTCTGGTCCTTTATTTAGAGCTGCTTCCACTGTCTCCCTCATATTTTGAGATTCTCAGAAAACTTAGGATAGTCACTTATTTTAAAAACTTTTTGGTTTATTTATTTCTCCTTTGTTCTTATAAAATTATTTACCATTCCATTATCCTGAAATTAGCTTTTGAGTATCCAAAAGAATATAGAGGGCTTTGCAAAATGGGTACAACGAAGGGCACTTTGAAAGATCACTTGGATCTGTGTACCAAAACTGGCGTATTAGCAAATTCCACAAGGGCTTTGGGTCACATAAGCAGACCAGAGAGCAGTCATACTTGACTTCACCACAGTGTCCTTCTTGATGCCAGCCTTTTGCTTATTACAACTTTAAAGAAGGTTTTAGCTAGCTTTGTGCAAATCATATGTTTGCTTTTGTGTGTTCTCAATTGCATAGGGGGAGGGGAATGAACCATTTTCATGGCTGATGGGAGGCTCCATGTGCATAGTTGCCTGTTATGCCATACCTTTACCTGACATTTTTGGCTAGTAAATTTTAATGCTTCTGTGGTTTTTCACTGACCTGAATTTTCCATTTCTGTATGTGTCCCATTTGTGCTGGGCACATCAGTCGGTATTTGTAGCACATCAGCAGCTTGTATGAGCAAGGTATCATTTAACAACATTCACTTTGTTGCGTTAAGAGAAATCCTTTAGGATTTCATTGTTAATGCACTCAAAGTTCAGCAGACCACTTAGCCTGAAATGACCAACATGTTGTCTGAACACTGATCATCAGGGCGTTTTATGTACAACCCCCCATGGAAAAATACTTCATCTACTTTTGCACTCCTGAGGATACAGGAAAGCAGAGCACTGGGGAGAGTTTGAGCCATTCTTCCGTAACCTGCAGTCAGTAGAAAAGGAGCCACTTGAGAGCTATTCTGGAAGACAGCAGGTTTATGATTTATCTACAGATAGCCTTAGTACTAGTATGGAGATATCTGGCTAAATAATTTCAAATTTGGTGGAGATACCATGATGGGTTTCCACTGTGTTTTCT